AACAACATATGACGGGCGTTTGTTTCAAAATCAGCTGAACCATTGTCAGATATGCGAGACCCAGACAGGATGTTGAAACGTTTCGCGTTGATTCAACATTTGTATAACATGGGGCTAGAACATGAAGGAGGAAAAGAGTTGTCGAAGTGCCGGTGAGTATACGAGTACTTTGAACTATTAAGAAATCATGAAATTAAGACCCTTTGTAAATGTAGCACAGTTCAAAATATCTGGGAAAGACAGTAACAAATAAAAAAATTAATTCAGGAGGAAATTAAGAGGGACTGAATTCTGGTAATGCTTGCTACCATTAAGTCCAGAATATTTTGTTCATTACCGTTTTCACAAGAGCCCTCCATTGGTCCTTATCCTGAGCCAGATGGATCCAGTGTATACAATCCCATCCTATTTCTCTAACATACATTTTAATATTATAATCCCATCTATGTTTAGATCTTCCTAGTGGACTCTTTCATTCTGGTTTCCCCAGAAAATCCTGTAGGCACCCCATTAATTGCCATATACGATATATATGCTGCCCATACAATCCTTGACCGATCTTTCTAATTACATATGGAGAACCGTTCAAGTCCTGAAGCTCTTCATTATGTAGTTTCTCAATCCCCCTATTGCTTCGTCCGTCTTTGGTTGAAATGTTCTTCTCGGCACTATTTCCTCAAATACCTTCAGTCTATACATTCTTCCTTTAATTTAAAAGATCAAGTTTCACACCCATGCAAAAGTACGCTCAAAATTATATTCCTGTATCTTTTAATTTTTACGTTTTAGACCGCAAACGAAAAATTCAAAACGTTGTGAACTCAACGGTGGCAAGCATTACCCGAGTTTAATGTCCTATGCAACATTTTGGATATCAACCCACAATATAAGACAACACTGTTGAACACACTTCCAAAACTTTCATTTATGGCCTAATTTTTCATTTGCAATACACTCAAATTAGCGGGTAGAGGGTATCGCGTGGTCAGCGCAACGAATCCCCACGGATTGGCACTAACTTCGCCGACAAGCGGCGGTCGTTCGGTCGGTATAGTTCGCTTGCAGACTAAAGCCACGGAGTTTGTTCTTTAATACAGTCAATGACATTATCAATAACTCAGACGTTAAGGCGTCGACTGAAATCATGATAATCAAATGGGAAAGCTGTGAAAGCAGGCGTTTGCAGCATAATTTTAATGTAATATTCCGAAACTTTTCCTGAAGTAACTGAGGAAAAACATAACAGATCTGAGTCATGATAATCAGTGTCTCAGTCGAGATCAGAACCAGGTACCTCCCAAACACCATTCAGGCGTCAGTTACATCTCGAGGCAGCGGCCTCCCACCTCATGACTCAAGGTACGCGGGTTCAAACCCGGCGGAGGTCGTGGAATTTTTAAGGGCGGAAAATTTCAGGGAACAAGTGCTCCGGGAGGGACTTTAAGCCGTGTGTCCCGTGTCGTAGCTTTACGGCACGTAAAAGAACCTCATGTCTCTAGGAGACCTCTGAGCTAAATTACAGGCCCTTTCCTGCCCACGTAGTCTCCAATGCCTCTGGTGGATGGGCGAAGCATCAAGGTACCGGAGGCCGACCTCATTGGCTCTACGGGGGCTGATGGCACGCACCGTTACCGGTAGGGTATGGCGAGAGTAGAAATTAAAGGGGGGACGCACAATGGACCAATAACTGGTCTAAGTGCATGGGGAAACCCACCCCCTTCCATAATACATATATATATATATCTCGAGGCAAATTTCTCGTTCGATTCAGCCACAAGCGATTGATCGAACGACTCTAAATAAATGTATAAAAACGTAAAGTTATCGCTGTAACAGGCCGTGGAGGCCAAGACGGTTGCGAGACGTCGAGGTTCCAACATTTTCTAGATAATCGGCTGACAGATGGCCGTGAAATTAACAGCCTTATGCGCCAGGTTATCCTTGTAAAAGGCCGTGGAGGCCAGTAGGGTTGCGAGACGTCGAGACTCCCATATTTTCTAGATAATCGGCTGACAGATGGCCGTGATGTTGTCAGCCTTATGTGCCGGCCGCTCTTTACCCAACAGGAAGATTCTTGGTACTCATTTCTGTTAGAGACTGAGTCGATCCCAGGGCCATAGTGCGGCTTGAAGGATTGGATATATTGAAAAATCCAATGACCACAACGGGAATAAAACCCACGACCTTCAGGCTTGTAGCATAGTGCCTAAACCAACTATGCTACCGCGTACCTCAAATAAATATATAAAGAACTGTAAATAACCAATGAAACAAAGGAACACATTCCACAGACCTGACATAAAAACAGTGTGACCTAACGTGAACCGTTGCTTCGTGATGAAATATTAATGCAGAGCTGAGAGAAATATCATCTCTTGCTTGACCTGAAGTTTGAAAAGCGCTGTGAAGTTGGGGCCTCTTGAGGGAGAAGTCCCAGGTAAGCTTAGGGGGCGCAAAACAACATATGCGGCCATTACCCTTGTTTTCAAAATGTCAGACGGCAGAAGCTTCTTGCGGGCTCGGTCACGGTCGCCAGGAACACATCGTCTCTGATACCAACACATCAAAATGGCGTGTAGACGTAAACTGTAATAAACTTATCCCTGTGCTTAATTAATTAAAAATATATGGGGAAGTGGAGGTTTAGATCCACCATTCTTGATCTTGGCACTAGATGGAGGTGAGTGCATCACGCCCCGATGGATTTACCACCGGTAAAAGATTCCCTAGTAAAAAAGGTGAAGTTGTCCCTGTGTTTAATTAAGTATTATGCTATGAAGGCGTATTCGAGAGTGGATGTATAGATCCACATTTTCTTGACCTTGGCACTAGCTGGAAGTGAGTAGTCAGCTTCACGCCCGTCTTATAAGTCACGACTCCGTTATTTATATGGTCCCATTGTTATAACTATACCATTGTTGTCACGATCCAAAGGCTTTCCTTAGAGAGGAATAATGGGGAAATAATCAGACTTGGACTCGAACCCATACGCGTAACAGCAAAATCATTTATCCTGAGTTTTATCTCTAAGAGAAGCACCTTTTTCTTCAACAGTTTCTTCTATGAATCACATTTCGGAACAAATAGGGTAGGACAGACGGACAGAGGAACTATATATAGGTATACAAAAGAGTAAAAGAAGTAAAGGTATCCTTGTAATTGGCCGTGGAGGCCCATAGGGTTGTGAGACGTCGAGACTCCCACATTTTCTAGACAATCGGCTCATAGATGGCGGTAAGGTTGTCAGCCTTACGCGCCGGCCGTCCTTTACCCCAAAGAATATCCCTGGTACTCATTTCTGTTAGAGGCTGAGTCGACCCCAGGGCCATAGTGCGGCTGGAAGAATTAGGTGAATTGAAAAAATCCACCTCATCGGGATTCAATACCGCGACCTTCCGGCCTCAATCAACTACGCTACAGCGTGCCCCTTTATATAGAAAATAATTTTAATCCCCCCACAAATTATGCGCATATGATGGGGGAGAGATCAGAGTAAGAGCTCAGATTTCCGTGGCTATGCATGCATGTCACGCTGTGATGTTGTGGATAAGTAGCAAAGTTACGGAGTGACTTTCTGCCTCCGTCTTCCTAGCCAGAAGATGAGCAGTTCCCATCCTAAGGCTTGGTACCTATTTACAAAATTATATGGAGTCTGTTCACAGAAATCGAAGCAGGACCATGAAGATGGCAGCTGCTTTTCCAGAGAGACCTTCAAGTAACAACAGAGTGATATGTTCCGGTAGAGAGACGAGAGACGAGAGAGAGGGACTATATTTTCATGCAGCTTGTGTCAAGTTCCCCGGCCCGGAGAACTTCCCATCCAAGCACCATTACTGACAGAAGGAGCTGTCAAGCCAGTGCACAGATGTGGCACGTTATGTTATTAAGACCCCAGTCACTTACCTACAGAAGAGAAGGGATTAAACTTACCCCTCTCTTTGCTTCTATAGATTATAGCTGGGATCCTTTACAGAACTATAGCTTAACTAAGTTTCTTACGAGACCTTGAAGATGGAGGCAATATATCTCTCCGAAACGTTGGCACTTATGTACAAAACTACAGTTCTTATTTTCTATTTTCTTATAGTCTTATTATGTTTCTTTTTTTGTTTTCTATCTGTTATTATTTTATTTATTTCCTTTCTCATCTTTTTCTTTGTGCTTTAAGTATTTATCTATTTCCGTGCTTCTTTCTTTATTTATTCCCCCCTCCCCACTTCAGTCTCTTCTGCATTGAAGCATTTCCTTGATAGTAGCTATGAAAAAATTAACAGATTTATTTGTAAATACTTAATAACATAAGAGATGAGGAAAGCAGTCTTCTGGGATTTGGCACCGTGTATATGTGGTGTTAACCGACGTTNCCTCATAGTCACCGCCGTGAAAGCCTCAAATCTTACAACATAACAGATATTTCTGTGTCTAAGAAAAGAAGCATATATATATATATACACACACACACACACACAAAGAAGGCCTAGGCAATGCCCATCCTGCCCTCTGTAACACATTTTCTTATAAACATTTTATTCTATCATAGCGGTCACCCACAGATTTTTGAACATCTCTTAATTCTAAGAATATAATATTAATATTTTGCACATATACTTTTCCTTTTTTAGATAAGTTTAGAAATTTTGTTTACAAGTAACAGATGCCTTACACAAATCATTTTCCCTCTATCCTGAAGAGCTCTGTAACTGACTTTGGGTGTTCTCAGACAAAAGTCCATCATTGTTGTCCTTTGGTCCTCGTACAGTTCAGAATCCCAGAAGAAATGTTCCTCCGTTTATAAGCCCGTTTATAGTAGTGGCATCTGTTGGAATGTACGTGAATTACATGCTACACCATACCAGTCTCTGTGCATTAGTTAGCAGAACCCGCCTCGTCTGCTCACTGACAGAGAAAATGTTATAACACATATCTACTAAAGGAAATGGGACTGCTGACGTCAACACTGGCTGTGAACAGCACTACACAGTGTGATGTTTGTGTTTCAGGGTATTATGCAGATCAGCTGTCAGTGGCGCAGGAAGTGAGGGGCAATCAAACGGTCCGAGTGAAGAACGAGAGCAGGGGCTTCCACCTCAACAATTTGTCCTACGCTGGTCCCATCGTCATGGGCGTGGGAGGTGGGTACAGTCAGATTCTGTAAACGTTTGTGTCAGTGTTTCATTTGAGGTACTCACAGCGGTAACTATGAAACGTCTGATGTTCTGGGTTGTAACGTCGCATAGATCGGAGAAAGTCTGATGTTTTGTAAGAATATATCGTTTCTATCTTCAGGGTAGAAGAATAAATTAAGAAACCAGCTCAGCTTACCGCCTGCTTCTTTCTTGGCTTCCTATTGCGCTTTTTACAAATTCTCTCTCAGCACAGACTTTGAAAGCAGATCGTGTCTAGCTTATGCCGCACATGCATTCTTGTATGTGAATGACCTTGAATATGTTACCTTGGAAACGAAATCGGTTCCTATTCAGTACACTGTTGCTGGTAGTTCTGGTATACAGGTTGCGACATGTATGCATTGCGTTAATATTTTGGCCCCTACTGAGCTTAATTTTTGTCCTGTAGATACCACTAACGTACATTAATTTAGGATAAGGGTCTTCGTAAATGTCTTAAATTTAATTAAATTAATTAGACCGATTTTCGAGAAAAACGCTATTTTGTTCCCGGGGTCCATCTGAAGGGTAATATTCTTGAAGCTAAAATGTCCTGTTCGCTGAGAAGTGGCCTATAAAGCATAAAATCTTAAATATCGAATATGAACAAAACCTGTTCAACCGTTCAGACCCTAGCGTGGAGCGTACATCCGTAAAAAATTCGACTTCGTGATTTTTCAACTCAAAATTTCTTCTCGTGTGCTTTACGTGTATGAGTAAGTTAAGAGCAGATAAAAAGAAGACATATGCTTCGAATTGGATTTAAAAAAAGCAACAACAGCTTAACAAAACTTATGTCACGTAAACACGCTGATAACTGAACCTATTTCTTCTAACGTAAAACATTTTCATGTAAAACAAAATCATAATACTTATGTTTTTCACAAAATTTAATTCTAAACCTTCGATCCCTGTTTTCGGCCCTTATTTTTCGTGGATTTGCTTTGTTGCACCCGCTCATTAATTCAGCTTTCAGTTACCCTCACTTCAATAATGCACTGAGGTTAAATCACCTTCAATTTCACTTTGTGGTTTCCATTTACGCGGTCAGCTTCCAGCACCCACACAAATTTAACCTTCTTCATAACAAGCACACACACACACCGCTCCCAAAATCACGGTTTCTTCTCAATGCTTTATCCTGAAAATTTTGTGCTAAAACTCTCATTATCACGGAAAAATTACACAAATTATTTTTTCAGTATATTCCACTGAGCGAGTTGACGCAGCGGTAATACTCAAAACTAATATTTTGAAGATTCTCGGTTCGAACCTCGACCGAGACGCCAGCCATCCTGATGGAAAACATTTGCGTTTATTCTGTGTTTCTTATGTCCTGTGTGCAGGTAGAGGCCTTGTGACTGGCTGATCCCCCGTCCAGGGTGTCCTATTTACTGTGTATAGGATTAAGAAACTGAAGAAACAGCCGAGGCCCAACAAAAACACTGTAGAGCCATAGATGGGTCGGTGGATATTTGAATGGATAGGTGGTTGGATGGATGGATAGGCAGGCAGACAGACGGACGGACGTCGTGTTTGTTGTTGCACGCTCCTCAAAAAGCTGCAGACTTAAACCAATTGCCGATGGGGTCCTGGTATATATTCTATGTTCAGAGAAACTGAACGGGTCAGAATTCAAATGTAAATTCTTCAGTAACCGTGACTAACCGTTTGCAAACTGACCCAGACTTTTCCTCTCATACATGAAGACGGAAACATATCAAGTATCCGAAACATATGTCTACAGAAAACTAAAGACAATGAACAATACACTAAATAATAGACATATTACTTTTACACAACATCGCCACAAACTTTTTGACTCGACTTAATTTTAGTCTATCTTCCTTATTTTGGAAAAAATAAAATAAAATGATACTTATGCAATCTCCATGTTGTCTGTATGTCTGTGTATCCCCCTTTACCAACTTTTGAAAGTCTGAACCAATCTCTGTGAAACTCGGTATGTATATAACAACAACTGAGGCCATCTCAAAGGCGTGCTTAGTCAATCTCTCCCATCAGTCTGTGTGTCCGTATGCGTATCCCCCTACCGTTGCTAGGCAACGGCTCGGTAAAAAAATATCGCTGCAACGAATACACACGCAACAATAGAGAAATTGTTGGACGCGTCGTTGCCTATGCGATCCGTGTCATATCAAAGGAAAGTAGGAGATCAATTTTTCCAGTACTGCTTGCTTTTACTTCCTACCAAATTATGAAGATGGAGATGTGTCCTTGTTGCACCGAAAGCCTTCAGCATCTCTCCATAGCCATAGCAAGGGCGAGGGAGCGTAATTTCAGATGGAATGTTCTTAAAATGTGGGAGCATCTGAAGGGAGGCTCAGGAATGTGTTATGGAATTATTAGAATTCCTGAGGGTAGTTTTGAATTAAAGGGAAGGAGTGGGCCTAAGTGGGATAAAGGCTTGAATAATGCCAGAAATATAAATTACTTGTATTCATTTATCCTTTCACTTCTTCCTTCATTCCTTCTTTCTTCCATTCCTTTTTTTAATTTATTTATTGCTCCATTTCATTATATACTCATTTATTTACGTATTCTTCCCATTGGCTTCCTTCATGTCCTCACTTTGTTCTCTGTTTTTTGTTTCTATATTTTCTCTTTGTCCTTCCCTTTGTCGTCGTGTTCTCTTCCTCTCTTTCTTCCATTCTCTCTGGTTCTTCCCCATCCTTATATATTTGTTTATCCTTTCCTCCGTTCTATTCTTCTCTTTGCTGCTTTCCCTTATACATTTATCTATTTATTACTGGTTGTGGACTAGACGCCCGAGGGATCGGAGTTCGAGTTCCGGTAGGGTCGAGAATTTTCTCTTCTACACGTCGTCCAGACGGGCTTTGGGGCCCACACAGCCTCCTATACAATGGGAACCGCGGGCTATTTTCCCGGGGGGGGGTAAAGAGGCCAGGGCGTGAAACTGATCACTCACCTCCAGCTAATGCGGAGGTCAGCAAAATGTGGATCTATATAACCACTCCCCCATACGCCTTCATGGCGTACTGCTTAATTAATTAAGCACAGGAACTTTACTTCTTACCTTTATTTGTTTTTTATTTATTCTTGATGTAAGTTTCCTTTCTGTTTTCTTTCCTTCTCTTTAATTTTCTATTTGTTCCTTTGCCCTTCTGTACCTACCTACCGGGTCCTTCTGTCGGTTCCTTGCTTGGATTATCAAGGGTTCTACAATTCATGAACTGTTCCAACGTGTAACATGACCGGGGTCATACTGGTATCGCCAGAATTGGTTTTCAAATGAACCGAAGTTTCTAGGCCTGTGGTAACATTTTCCTGACCTTACTGGAATTATTATAATAACATGCCATCCAGTGTAACAAATTTCATACATAGGAAATATAAGATATACAGCCTTACAAGTTTCGGTCCCTTAAATTTGTTACAATCGATGACTTATTATTGCAATATTTTCATGAATTAGGGGTGCGTGATTATGGAAGGGGCTCATGATCAGATATTTATTACTGTTTCATAGTTACGGTCTTGCTTTTGTGGGGCTCTCTCTCTGACGAGAGGACGGGTCTGTATTTTGTATATGCTGCTGGCCCTTGCCAGTGCAGTCTTTCTTGGGTCCGAGTCCCTTGGGACTCGCGACCATATTTTTCTGTATCAAATTTGAAACTTCCCTTTTCGTCGTCTTCTACGACTCGCAGGGTCACGGTGGAGGTATTCGAACCCGCCTCCACAGGGCAAACTCCACTAACTATTCTCAACTGAACTCTTCTTTATAACTACTTCGCACGGATGGAATAGAAAACACCGTTTCCAACAATACCCCTATTATATTGTGTTTCCTTGCTTAGAAACGGGCTCTTCTATTATTTCATATGTGTTCATTTCGGTGGGAAGCCCTATACCTATCCGTTGCTTAGTAATCAAAGCTTTCATCCGTCATGTCAGAATATCTACCGAAAATGAAACGGTGAAGACGTCGCATACTAAACTAAAATAGAAACTCATTACGTTGATACGATTACATGACCTTTTTGAAGGTCATACAGGTTATTTCTGTCTCATGCAGTCACTAATCCCTTTGTGTATTCAGTATTACCAACATCTCGTTCCTTCGGTTATGTTCTGAACTTTTTTCTAGGAAAATGTAAATTTCTGTAAATGATCATTTCGTGTACTAACATTCCAGTCGTAGCAACTTAAACTAATTAAATGTCCCATGCGATTGTGCATTGCATCTCTTGAGATTAAACGACACAGAACTAACGTGACAAGTGAAGGCCCTGGGGAGTGGGGTTTCCATATTACTACCCCTTTCTCTAGGTTTTACACCTCGTAATAAAACCTGAACTTCTACGAAGCATAAACATGAAGGGGAGAGACACAAATCAGCGCGTCATCTCCTTCACAATTTCACTCCGTTAAAATCTGCAAAGCTCTGCTTTAATGAAAACAAAAACAAAGACGAGTTTGCACATTAAGCTTAAACAAACACCAGCAAGTAAGAACGTCACTGTGACGTCACAGGAACTGAAAAACGTAATACCAAGAGCCTAGCTGTGTCTGCAATTCGCAGAATATGACAAGCGTCAGTAAGAAGAACTTCACGGCCATGACCGCAGCTCAGTCGTAGGGTTCTGAACGCAGTCACGTCACATAAGATTTTCTCCGGGCACTTCAGTATCCCCTGCCAATTCGCATTGCAACACTCACACAATCACTAGAGGCCGGCGTGCCCAAGTAGTCTCACCCCACACCATGAGTAAATTAGACCAAACTCTGGTAATGTTTGCTACCATTCAGCCCAGAACCTTTTGTCTTCTCGTCTGCTGTCCATAATCATAAGAATTAGAATATACAAAACTATAATTTTGCCTGTGATTCTGTGTGGGTGTGAAACTTGGTCTCTAAAAATTAAGGGAGGAACATAGACTGAGGGTGTTTGAGAACGGGCTGTTGAGAAGAATATTTGGACCGAA